GCGCACCGGGTGTCAGGCCCAGGCCGGTCAGCTGTGTCCCGGGGCCCTCCCCTGGGATTGGCGGGCGCCGCTGCAGGAGGCAGGGGACACCTGGCGCCCCTCTGCCTCCCCCCGGCTCCACCGCGAGCCACTCACCAAACGGCAGCAAGTGAGCGATGGGCTGCTAGGCGCCAGGCCCACGGCGTGGACGCGGCCCCCACAGGACGCCCCGCGGCCTGGTTCTGTGGCTCCCAGTAAAATCAGGCCCCTGAGAGCCCTTTGCCCCAGCCGCCCCGGCGGCCCCCAGTGCTGCATCCTCTGCCGGGAGAGGGGCGGCCTGGGGCTCCCGCGGTCAGCCACCTGGGTGGCCACTTGCCTGCGCCTGTGCAGTGCCCACCTGCCCGCTGCCCTCATCTAGCCAGCCCCAGCTGGCACCGTCTGGCGACCTTGAGGAAGGCGCTTACCCTCACAGCCTGGGGCCCGTCTTTGTGAAGAGCAAGTGGCTTGCAGGGGGCTCTGGAAGCCGGACCGGCCCTGCTGCTCCTGGGCTCTCCCTGTGCGCCGCGCTGGGGCCCAGCCGGCCGGTCAGCCCGCGCGTATGTCCCGACCTCGCTGTCGCTGGCCCTGGGGAGACCGAGGCCCTAGTCATGTGTGGCGCTGCTGTGGGGTCCACGTGCAGATGGGGGAGCCCCGGGGGCCGGAGAACGCTCCGGGCGGGGCTGGAGCTCTGGACCCGAGGTCCCGGCCGGCCGCAGAGAGCCGGGGCAGGGGCCAGGCAGGCCGGTGGGGAGGGGGCCGCGCCAGGCAGCGGGCGGCGCCCGGAGTCTCTGTGGTCGGGCTGGCGAGACGAGGTCCTAGGGTGAGGTGGCCGCGCTCTCAGCCCCGGCGGGCAGCACCCTGAGCCACTGCCCAAGGGCCAGTGCAGGCCTGTGGGCCTTCTGCCTCAGGGACTGGCCAGCCTGGTCACCTCTTGGACGTGGGCAGAACGGGTGAGCCCAGGCTGCTGTGCGGACAGGGCCGGAGTGTGGGCAGGGAGGGGCCCGCTGACCTGGGGATGATGGGCACTCGCCCACCTGCTGACCCACCAGACGTCCCTTCACTCGCCACCCAGCCAGGGGCCGTGTGCCCCAGGCCAAGGGCTCTTATGCTGGTGGCAGGACAGAGGGGTGCCCAGAGGGCTGCCCTGGGGCTCACGGGAGCCTCCGGCGTGGCCACACCCCAGGTGCAGGGCAGCGCCCTGCCGGCCTGCCCAGGCTGAGCTCGCCGCTTCCTCCCTCCTGGTGTGCAGATGTCTCCTGCGGGCGGTTCTAGAAAGGGCGGCGCCCGCGGGGGCAGGCAGGGGCCGGACCCCGCTCTGCGGGCACCGGGAGCACATGGGCCGTGGCTGCCGTGTGGGCGGCCGCGGGCGGCAT